GGGCATGTTGCAAGGAGGGACTGGTCCTTGGAGAGGGACATCATGTTTGGGAGAGTGGAGGGACAACGCAGGAGAGGAAGACCCTCGATGAGATGGATCAGTTCTGTGAGTGGAGTTGTGGGAATGAATGTGTTTGAGACAGCGAGGTTGGCACAGGATATAATGTTGTTTAGGGCTCTTGTACGTAGGGTTGCTATGAGTCACAAACGATTCGATGGCACATAACAACAACAACAACAACATAGTGTATTTACATTTTAGGGAATTCTACATATGCTTGCTATGCACCTGAGAGCTGGAGAATTAATAAAAATGACTTAAGAAGAATTGATGCTTTTGAGCTGTGGTGTTAGAGAACAGCACTGAATATCCGGTGGGCTGCCAAAAGGACAAACAAATCTGTCTTAGAGAGAAAGAGTGCAGCCAGAGTGCTCCTTTGAGGCAATCTCACATACTTCAGGCATGGTGCTAGGAGGGTCTGTTCACTGGAGAGGGACATGATGCTCAAGAAGGCAGAGGGTCCGCAAAGGAGAGGAAGTCCCTCAACCAGGTGGATTGACACAGTGCCTACTTTAGTGTATCAGTAAATGTGAGGATGGCACAGGATAGAACAGGGTTCAAACCTCTTGTTTATAGGATCACTATGGGGTGTGCTGAACTTGATGGCACCTAACAACACTCAACATAAATAATTAAAAATTGCCTATGCTTCTGATACTAAATGAAGGTCTTCCTAACTTCAAATATTGACAAAGTATACTTTTATTTTATTATGTTTAAGAACATGGATGACCACCTCTATGAACTCGTCGGAAGAAGGCCCTTTCCAGTAAACCAGTGACACCCTGCCAAAGGATGTTACCAAGGTCTGTAGAGAATTCACTGAGTGTGAGCAGAGGGAAGCCTGCTTCTCATGGTGGCCTTGTGCAAGGCAGCCTAATGCTCTATGAGAAATTTGCCCTTCACCCTGTCTTCTTTAACATAAAAACATGTACCTACAAGTATGGTCTAAAATGCTTCTGTACTTATGAAACAAAGCTGGCTTGCAGGTCTGCAGAAATGCTCACATCCTCAGGCATATCCAAGCATGAGCAGAGCTCTACTGTTGATTCAAGCAGGGTTTCTTGTAAACTTCAGATGGCAAAGCATTTTCTTAGATCCACTCTTGTATGTCTTGTTACCTTAATTTCTAATGCTTTAAATGGCTTCTCTGGCTTATGTCCATAAGTTAAGGCTTTGAATTTGGTATGTCATTAAAAGGAATTCAACTTTTCTGCTTATAAAAAATAAAAAGTAGGTCTTCTTCATAAATTTAGGGGAAAGTAATATACAGTTTCATCAGGCAATTCATTAGTAAAATTGCATTATTTCTAATTTTGTGTGCTAGTTGCATACAGCGGCACTTCTACTAAAATATTTCATAGCTTGCATTTTAATATTTGCTTTTTTTTTCTGGACAAGACTTCTCAATTTTTATCCCAAAATAATAATGCTTATTTTAATGATAACCATTATTTTAATTTCTTATGTGAAGATGAGGCTCAAACAGATCTAATATTATATCTAAGATTTCACAGTAATTCATAGCAGTAGCACAGAATAGGAATCCTCTCTGTGTCCTTGTTGAGTACCATCAAGTTGGAACTGACCCATAGCTGACCCTCCAGTGAGTGTTCGGAGACAGTTAATTGCATGGGAGCGGATGGCCTGTCCTTTTTCCGTAGAGCAGCTGGTGAATTTTAACCATGTGCCTTTGGGATTGCAGTGCAGCTTCTTACCACCAGGCCAACCACAAATTGTCTATGTAAGTATGCTGCTGTTGTTAGGTGCTGTCTACTCTATTGTAATCCTAATCTACATATAACAGAGAGAAACAAGACCTGAGCTAGTGCAGTCTTCATTAGCTTTACTTGTGGAGCCCATTATTGCAGTCATTGTGTCAATCCGTTCAAGCTCTCCCTTTCCTTCACCGACCCTCTACTCTTCCAAACATGAGGTTTTTCTCCAAACGCTAGAACCCTCTTGATAACAAATCCAAAGTACATGAGTGGAAGTCTCCCCACCCTACCTTCTAAAGGACCATGCTGGCTGCACATCCTCCATGACAGCTTTATTCACTCCGACCATCCAAAATTCTCTTCACAATTTACTCTTTGCACACTATTTCATTGTTTCGTTCTCTTCATGACTTAATCTTGGTCTACACCACAATTCAAAGGCACTGACTCTTCTTTGATTTCCTTATCCACTGGGGGACTTTCACCTGCACACATTGTTGTTGTTGTGTACCATTGAGTCAGAATTGACCCATAGTTGACTTTCCAATGGGTTTTCAGGGCAGTAAATCACACGGGAAGAGATTGCTCATCTGTCTTCCGTGGAGCAGCTGGTGGATTTGAATCACGTACCTTCCCCCACACATAAGTTGATTTAAAATACCATAGTTTGGATCAGCTGTGGTTCAGCCTTTAAAGAGGCATCCCTGCTCTTTAGCACTTTAAAGAGTTTATTTGGAACTGACTTGTCTAATGCAATACATCGTTTGATTTCTTTCTTATACTTTTTTCCATGCAGTTTCCATGGGCATTGATTGTGAATGCAAGTAAAAGGAAATCTTTGACAACCTCCATTTTCCTTTCTGTTTTATCATTTTCCTTTCTGTTTATTACGATGTTGTTTACTGGTCCCATTGTGAGGATTTTGGGTTGGTTTTGGGTTTTCTATGTTGAGGTGAAATCCATATTCAATGCTACGGTATGTGGTCTTCATCAGTAAATACTGCAAGTCTTCCTCATTTCCAATAAGTAAGGTTGTGTCATCTGTGTAACTCAGGTTTTTAATAAGTCTTCTTTCAATCCTAATATAATGTATTATTTTGCTCTGTATATCTATTGAGTAAATAGCTCATATTTATGACCACATCTTTTCATAACCCCCATCTATCAGAAAGATAGGTGTCCGAATAACAGATCATCTCACTCTTGTGCAGAAAATCAGAATGCAATTTGGCCATTTGATTTTTTTTTTTAAAGTAAAGTGGCAATCTTCCCCTCCCCTCCCCTTTTCAAGATGGAGTTCCTGCGTAATGTAAGTCATTTGGCTCTCCTCCACTCAGACTGCACCTCACAACAATAACAGCTGAGGGGCAAGGAGCTCTGGTGGCTTATTGGTAAGGAATTGCTGTCAGTACAAAAAGTGTGCTGTTTTAATCCACCAGCTGCTCTGTGGAAGACAGATGGGCAATCTCCTCCTGTGCCTTTTACTGCTTCCGGAAACCCGCCAAAGGTCAACTATGGTCCATTTCTTACTCAGTGGTATATAAAAAACAAAACACAACAAGCTGAAGTGTAAGCAATTTGAACCTAACCTAGGTACCAGGGAAGAAAGGGCTGATGTAATGTTCTTCCAAAAGGTACGAGTGTCAGCCTGGGCCACCTTATGGGCCACTCCTTATGGAAAGCATGCAGGTCAACATCAACACAGGGTCCCCTAGATACCAAGTCACAGGCCGCCTTGTGGAGTGCAGGTCACACAGGGTCCCCCTAGAGACCAGCTACTGGATGGCAAGGGGTTAGGGTAACTTTAGAAAGATAATGACATGGAAAAAATATTTTAATTATATAAATGTCTCATAAGGACAAATACTGCATAAGAACATTATTATTAAAACAGAAAGATAGCTAGTAAATCATGTATGGGGGCCCAAGGGCGCAAGGGGTGGGAGCAGAGAGGTGAGGATGGGTAGGGGGCAGAAATCACAGGGAGCCGTAATTTTGTGGGTGGAGGGAGAGGGTAAAAAAAATGGGAAAAGATCCAGCAGAGACCTGAAAAGATGGGATAATGGTGGGCATAATCCAGTGGTGATTAATTTTATAAAACACAATGATTGGGAATGATTGTATGAAACGTAATGTCAGTGAAGGAAAGTGTGTGTGGAAACCTGCATAAAAATAAAATAGAGAAGAAATGATGATTGGATGACAAGCCCTTGAACTTTATTTCAGTCTCTTGTTTAAAATAGGCACAAAGGGCATTCAATTTCTTCAGATTTGACCTCTGCTACAGCAGTGACCCCATATGTATTATTTGGAGCTCCCATCCTGACTCTGACCTTTCTTTGCTCTGTTCTTTGGTGCCAAGAAGTCTTCCTAATTTGCTGTATAAACTGAGTGGGGCGATCATGAACCCAGAAATAAGTGTTTTGACCTGCATCAGTAATTCTTTACTTGAATCAATCAACTTCTTTAAGCTACAGGGTTTTTGTCCCAGTGAATGTGTAAGTTGAGGGCGACCTATTCGGTTAAACGGATATCGCTCTGTTTCATCTCTTTGTGCCAATACCTGCTGGAGGGCCGCATGACAGCCACAACAGCTTGCAAAGTGTGCAATCATCCCGTTTACTGTGGAGCCTCCTCGGGACTGATAATGTTCAGAGCGGGGTGGCTTCAGACAGCAGCCTGAACTCCACGCTGCTTTTGCAAGAACCCACTGCCGAAAATGCTCACATCTGAAAGAAATCTCTGTGCTCCCCTGTCGTCTCCTCACGTAATCTAGTGCGTCCCAGATGCAGCTCATTTGGGGAAAATTGGGAAGGGAGCTAAAAGGGCTGGGTGTGCCCTCGCTGTCGCTTGTGCCATCTCTCCTCCTCTTTCCTGTCCTGGTCGCCCACTGGAGCACGCCATGCCCTCGCCCGCGCGCCTCGCGCTCCCGGGGGAGCTGTCCCCTGCGGGTCCCGCGCGGCCTTGCAGCAGCCCCTGCGAGCGTCCTGCGAGGCGGGGTCCACGCACAGTGGACGCCACCCCGCCCCGCGCGCCCCGCCTGCCGCGCCGCCTGGCCTGGTGTGCCATCGACTGGGAGCAGGTACGCGTTCTGCGGAGGCTGGGCGCTGGCGGCTTTGGCTGCGTCTACAAGGCCACTTACCACGGGCGGCCTGTGGCCATCAAGCAAGTGAGCAAGAGCTCCAGGAATCGCCTGGCTTCGCAGCGAAGCTTCTGGGCCGAGCTGAACATAGCTAGGCTTCGCCATGACAACATCGTCCGCGTGGTGGCCGCCAGCACGCGCACGCCCGCGGAATCCAACAGCCTGGGCACTATCGTCATGGAGTTCGGCGGCAGCATCACTTTGCACCAAGTCATTTATGGGCCGGGTGGCTGCGAAGATGAGCCAGGGGAGGCCCCGTGCTGCAGTGGGCCGCAGCTGAGCTTGGACAACTGTGTCAGGTATTCCCTGGATATCGCCAAGGGCCTGGTGTTCCTCCACTCTCAGAGCATCGTGCACTTGGACCTGAAGCCAGCCAACATTTTCATCAGTGAGCAGGATGTCTGCAAAATCGGGGACTTCGGTTGCTCAGAGAAGCTGGAAAACTTGTTGGGCTTCCAGGGCCCCCACCACCTAGGAGGCACTTACACGCACATGGCCCCAGAGCGCCTCAAAGGAGAGACCGTGACCCCTAAAGCAGACATCTATTCTTTTGCTATAACTCTCTGGCAGATGACGACCAAGGAGGTGCCTTACTCAGCGGAGCGACAGTATGTGCTCTACGCGGTTGTGGCCCACCATCTTCGCCCATCTCTCTCAGCAGCCGTCTTCACGGACTGTGCCCTGGGCCAGAGACTTGAGAACATTATCGAGTCCTGCTGGACAGCCAGCCCCAGACACCGCCCGAGTGCAGAACATGTCTTTGCGGACCTCAACTCTTTAAAAACCGAGTTTGGCTCCTGTTAAACCTGGTATCAGATACTCTTTTCTTTTTGTATTCTCTCTCTCTCTCTCTCTCTCTGTATACTTTTTTTAAAAGAAGTGGACTCATAGAAGAAAATTAGGACAGGCTTTAAAAAAAAAAATAAAGTTGCTTAAAGTCTTCTTTTATCTCAAACCTCTTTGAGGTTTTTCCCAGGCAGAACTGAGCTAGAAAATCCAGTACTTGTTTGAGAGTGGTTAGTAACCCACCTTTTCCCTTTATATAGCTGCCATCTATCCTTTCCATGTTGTTTTTAGATGCCATTGAGTTGAGTACGATTCATAGTAACCCTATGAACAAAAGATTTGAACCTACTCCTGTCCTGCACCATCCTCACACTTCCTGGCACACAAGAGCCCATTGCAGCAGTCACCGTGTCAATCCACCTGGATAAGGGTCTTCCTCTTCTTCGCTGACTCTCCACCCTGCCCAACATCATGTCCCTCTCCAAGGAATAGCCCCTCCTAGCAACACGCCCTAAGTATGTGAGATAAAGCTTCATCATTCTTGCTTCCAAAGAGCACTAGGGCTGCATCCTCTCAAAAACATTTGTTAGTTCTCTTGGCCGTCCATGGGATGTTCAGTGCTCTTCTCCAACACCACAGTACAAAAAATTCTTTTTCTGTCATCCTTATTCATTGTCCAGGTCTTGAATACATAGCTAGTAATCTGAAAGGTTATGACCTGAATCAGATGCACCTTAGTCCTCAAACTGACATCACTATTCTTCAATAATTTGGAAAGGTCCCTAAGTGCAGATTTTTCCAGTGTAATGTGTCTCCTTATTTCCTGACTACTCATAGGTGGTGTTTAATGGTTTCACATTATTGCCTGTCTTAGTTATCTAATGCTACTATAACAGAAATACCGTAAGTGGATATTTTTAACAAGCTTATTCTCTTTCCACTTAGGAGACTAGAAATTCAAACATAGGGCACCAGTTTTGGGGTTGTGGGGGAGACTTGTCTGTCAGCTCTGGGAGGAGGTCTGTCCCCTTTCACCTCAGTGAGGCAGGAATTCCTCAGAGCTCTCTGGGGATCTCAGCAATTGGCTTTTCCAGGTCTTCTTTCCTGGGGGTAGTTAGGTCATTTCTTTCTGCTGACTTCTCCCCCCTTTTTCTCCTATAGAACAAAACGTGCAACTTAAGTAAGGGTGGTACTTGAATCACGCCCTCTTGTAAGCCAGTAGTAGCTCAAGATACATTGCCAGGAGAGGTTATTCTTGGGAGAAGGACATCATGCTTGAGAAGGTAGCGGGATAGCAAAGGAGAGTAAGACCCTTAACCAGGTGAATTGACACAGTGACTGCAGCAATGGGCTCAAGTGTATCAGAGATTGGGAAGGCACGGGAGAGAGCAGGGTGCAGATGGGTTATCGATGCAGTTTCTATGGGTCATACACGATCCAATGATACCTAACAGTAGCAACCCTGCCTCATTAACTTGTATAAATTAAGATTCACTGCATATAATACAAAATGAAGGCCAGTCATCCAATATTGAAGGCCTTGGCCTTGCCAAATGGAAACCATTTGGGGGACGCAATTCAATCCACTACATTGCCTTTCCTCAAGTTCTTTATTGATAAACTCAGTGTCTCCAAAAGAGACTTCAATTGTGGAAATGCCAACATGTTTTTCTTCTATAATTTCAAAAGCAAGTGTTAACTTTTTTTCTGTTCCTGCCCTCCCCTCTACAAAAAACCCAAGGAAATCCCCCAAAAGCATTTGATCAGTCTCTGAATTACAAATCTAGATCATTTCTTAAGTAAAATTTAAGTCAAATTTTTAGCTAAGTTGGAACAGGTGCGTAATGTTCTTGGCTATCCTTATTTATGTGAAAGAAAGGAGCCCTGGTGGTGCAGTACCACTACTGCCAAATAAAAGATCAGCAGTTTGAACCCACCAACTGTTTCAAGAAAGAACGGTGTGACAGTATGCTCTGTAAGAATTCACGATGCTGGGACCCTACGGGGCAGTTCTGTCCTGTTACACAGGGTCACCACGAGTTAGAATTGACTTGACAGCAGTTAATACAAGAAAAGGCCCAAAGCCTTTGCCATGATTTAAAAGCTGCATGTGCAACAAATGAAGGCAATTATTATGAGTAATTTCTTAGAAATAGGAATTGGTTCAAGTACTTGAAAATAAAGACAGATTTATTTAACAAACAACAACATGTAAAGCCTTCACCCTCGACCTACATTCTAACATTAAAAAATCCCAAAAGAGCTCACCATCAGACCATTAGGACAGATGAAGACTGCAGTTGTTGATGATTTCATCTTACATGATCCCACAATTAACACTCTTTGTACAAGCGGGCATGAAATAAAAAAAAAAAAGTAAAAAACCCAACCAAAACATGTTCCATTTGAGTAAACCTATTATCAAGGACTTCTCCAAGGTGCAGAGGAGCAGTAATGTCAGTTTAAAGATTAAGGTGCACATGATTCAAGCTATGGCCTTTTCTTTGTGTGTTTAGGGGGGGTTTCACTAGTTTATCTACAAAATTCTAGTACAAATTCAAACAAATTCTTTCAACTTCCCTCAATCCCCCACCCATTTAATTGTACAACCCAAAGATTAATCCCCTCTTCCCCCTGTACCATCCCTCTGCTTCCAACCTCTCCCACCCCTCCTGGATCCTTATACTCATTCAATATTTATCCTTGTAGGACCGAATTAGTTCACTCAGCATAATGCTTTCCAGTCCCTCCCAAGTTAGGTAATAATTTACAAAGTTATTGCCCCTGAGTGCTGCATAGTATTCCATTGTGTGATTGTACCATAATTTCTAAATCCATTCGTTTGTGGTTGGACATTTGGGCTGTATCCATGTTCTTGCAATGGTGAATAATGCTGCTATGAACACTGACGTACAAATCTCAGTTTGTTCCTCAGTTCTCATAATCTCAGGGTATATTCCAAGTAGTGTAATAGCTTGGTCATATGGAATTTCTATGGTCAGCTTTTTTAGGAAGTGCCAAACTGCCTTCCAGAATGGTTGCACCATTTTACAATCCCACCAACAATGTTTGAGTTCCTTTCTCGCCACATCCTCTCCAACATCTATTAACTTGCTGCCCTGTTAAACGTTGCCACTCTTACTGGAGTGAGATGGTACCTCATTGTGGTTTTGATTTGCATCTCTTATTGCCAGTGGTTTGGAGCATTTCTTCATGTGTCTGTTTGCCATTCAAATATCTTCCTCTGTGAAAATTCTTTCCTTGTCTTTTGCCCATTTTGTAATTGGGTTATCAGTCTTTTTCTTGAGGAGGCCCAGGAGTATTCTGCAAATTTTTGGTATAAGACTCTTGTCTGAGATAGTATTACCAAATGTTTGTTCCCAGTCATAGGTTTTCACCCTGTTGGAAAAAGTTTTTGATATGCACAGAGATTTAATCTTTAGAAGGTCCCATGCATCAATTTTATCCTCTTTAGATTGTGCATTTCTGCTTGTATTTGGCGACTAGCACTTTGCCGTTGCCTTTTCAGTGACTTCCTGTACATCAGAAAGTTGGACAGTGACTAAGGATGATAGAAGAATTGATGCCTTTGAGTTGTGGTACTGGAAAAAGAGTACTGAATATCCATGTGCCACAAAAAGAACAGGTTTGGAAGCAGGAGTGGCTCCTACTTCCTAAATAACATGCCTCCAGAAACTCTATAAACTTTGACAAATGTCGATAGTTGTAGAGGGGCTTCAGGCCTTTTGTTCATAGGGTTGCTATGAGTTAACTCGAAGGCAACCAACCACCACCACTACCAGCAAAATAACAAATAAATGTCTTGGAAAAAGTGCATGCTCCTTAGAGACAAAGATAATGAAACTTCATCTCACATACTTTGGGCTTGTTAGGAGAGGCCAGTCCTTGTCAAAGGACATCATGCTTGGGAAGGTGAAAGGTCAGCAAAAGAGAGGAAGACCTTAAGCTAGATGCTTTATCACAGAGACGAGAGCAATGGGATCAAGTATATCAGGGATGGCGAGGATGACGCAGGAGGAGACAGGGTTCAGATCTATTGTTCTTAGGGTAGCTTTGACTAGGAGTCCACTCAATTGCATGCTCCTAACAACAGCAACAACAAAAAGGGTAAATACGAATACAGTGAGTCAGATACAACCTGGAAATTGCAGGCCAGTAATGACTGTCACCTGTAAGACAAACTGAGCTATACTTCTTTTTTTAAGAAAAAGATAGGAAATGATTTACTGGATTTTTAAAACTCACATATTACAATGAAATATGCCCAAACTGTCTGTATTTTGTCTGGTATTTGAACTCAGAAGTAGATGACACAACAAAGAAAGTTTATATATAATGTGAGATGGAGATAAGGAAGACAATCCTGAAGAACAGAAAACTAACACTTGAGTGGAGGAGAACAGATAAAGTAAAACCAAATAGACGATTTTAAAAGTCAAGGCAATGGCCCCTGGTCTGTAAGCACAGCAATTGAAAGTAATTGAAATAAGTGAATCTTGTTATTAGGACAAATTAACACTACTATTTGGTTGAGCAGTTCAGATAAACACTAGAGGGAAAGGCCATTGCCTGGACTGAATAGTTCAGGACAAGTAATTAAGGTAAAGGGCTATTGTTATTGTAATTGTCAGGTATGGCTCATAGCAATCCTATGGACAATAAATAGATTTGAAGCCTGTCCTGTCCTGTGCCTTCCTCAAAATCTCTAACACACTCAACCCACTGCTGCAGTCACTGTGTCAATCTATCTGGTTAAAGGTCTTCTTCTCTTTTGCTGTCCCCTCCACATTCTGAAACATGATGTCCTCCTAGGAATAGCCTCTCCTAACAACATGTCCAAGATATGATAGATTAAGCTTTGCCATCTTTGCCTCCAAAGAGCACTCTAGTTGCACCAACTTCAGACACATCTGTCTGTTCATTTATCAGTCCGTGGGGTATTTAATACTCTTCTCCAACACCACAGTTCAAAGGCATCAATTCTTCTGTCTTTCTTA